TGCCATATGCGTGGCTTAAGGGTGCAATATTGAAGACAAGGGATTGTGGAAGTTGCGGTCTGTTGAACCTTTTTCTTCATTTGTTGTTGCGTTGTGATTCCTCTTCTCTTTGTGTTATGCTCGTGTGTGTGTGTGTGTGTCTGCGTGTGTGCGTGTCTGCGGTGTGTTTGTGTGTGTGGGTGGTGTGTGTATGGGTGGTGTGCGTGTGAGGGAGAGTTTTTCTGATTCCCGCCCTCACCAAACAAACAAATAGACAAGACATATGGACGTCCGCCTCGTTCTTTCTTTTTGTGTGTGGCGTGTGTGTATGTGTGTGTGTGCGTGTGGGGGTATATTGGTGGTGTGCGTGTGGGGGGGGAGTTGTTCTTCTTCCCGCCCCCACCAAACAAACAAATGTACAAGACATATGGACGTCCGCCTCGTTCTTTCTTTTTGTGTGTGGCGTGTGTGTGTGTGTGTGTGTGTGTGCGTGTGGGGGTATATTGGTGGTGTGCGTGTGTGGGGGGAGCTGTTCTTCTTCCCGCCCCCACCAAACGAACAGGCAAGGCACATGGGCGTCCGCCTCGTTTTTCCTTCTCTCTGTGTGTGTGTTTTGACCCTGGCTTGGCAGCCGCCGTGCCGCCCTCTGCGCCTCCCCGGCCCCCGGCCCTCTCTCTCTGGGCCTGCGCTGTCGGTGCCTCCGACGGCCGACTGGCCGCCTCGCCCGGCTGCGCAACGGTGCCTCGACCAGCGCGGGCTCCCCCTCCTGCCGTCGGGGGCGGAAAAGAGGGGGGTGATGACTAGGGGGGGGTGGATATCATGGCGGGGGTCACGATATTTCGCCAGATTTCATGGCGCCTCTTCTTATTTCATTACGTCCCTGGCCCCCGCGCCGGGCCGCGCGCATGCCGCTGGTCATGATTTGCACCCCCCCCTCTTGGACACCCCCCTCTTGGCCGCTCCCGACCAGCGCGGGCTCCCCCTCCCGCCCCTCGGTCCCCCGCCCCTGTGGGCCTGGGAGTGGGTGGGGTCGGAGGATCGCGCCGCATCGCCGATGCATCGGCGATGGGGGTCGACGTGGAGCCCGTTTTGCTTCACGTCGACGTCGCCGATGCATCGCCCACGTCGACGATGCATCGCCGGTGCCTCGCCGATGCATCGCCGATACATCGCCGATGCATCGCCGATATATCGGCGATGCGGCGCGGTCCTCCGACCCCGTCCACTCCGACCCCATCTAGGAGGCCTCTGGGCTCCCCCTCTCCCGCCCCTCGCTCCCCCGCCCCTGTGGGCCCGGGAGCTGCTTTCAGCCTCCCCGACCAGGCCGAGTGGCCGCGCTATTGCGCCGCCCACTCTCCCGCTGGCCCCCGTCGCCGCTCGTCGGACCGCGGGCTGCCTCTCGCCACCGGCGCGCCCAATGCGACTGCTACGCGCGCCGGGCGCCTGCCCCCCCCCCCTCCCGGCCTCGCGCCCCCTCTGGATCGTGAGCGCGCATCCTTCGCAGCATACGGGGCAGTTTTTAATACATAGGATGCTTAAAGATATAGGATGTTCGATACATGACTAATTTATGAATAAGTTCATGCATGAACTCATCGTTGTTTTTGATACTAAATCCCTGCATGTCTAATGATCCGCACCCGGAACATGTATTAAAAATTGCATTGTATGGCGAGCCTCCGGCCCACCGGCCCACCGCTGTGGTTGCTGTTACCCCCAGGTGGGCGCCTCCCTGTCCTTCCTGACGCTGTGGCCCATCCTCTCTGTGTCTGCGCCTGTTCGGTGCCCATCCCATGCCCGCTGCCGCTCGCCGCGCGGCTCCCACAGGAAGCTTGCAGCGTCTCCGCTCCGCGTCGGCCTGCCGGCCGCGCTCCCCTGGCCCCGGAGCTTGGGCGGGTCTTGCCGCCCGCGCCCCCCGCCCCCCAAGCTTTGCCCGGTTTTCCGGTCCCGCCGTCCCCTCCCTTGGGGCTCCAGCTTTGCCAGCTGGTCGCGCTCCCGCCTCGCCAGCTGACCTAGTCAGCCCCCCCCGCGCCGCCGCTGGCCCCCCGCAGCCCCCCTGCTGCCGTTGCCCCCCCCCCCCCCCCGCGGCGTCGGCCACGCCACGCGCATGGGTCTGCTCTGAGCGGCCGGGGCCCCCGCCTCTCTCCCTGCCTCGGCCGTCGCCCCGTCGTCCTGCCTCCTCCCCCCCTACTGCATGGTGGCGGAATTCGCTTCGCGTTGCCCCGTTTTGCTCCACTCGCCAGCGCAGTCACTCTGCCTAGCCGCCGACGCAAAAAGTGCGTGTGTATGTGTTTGTGTGTGTGTGCGTGTGTGTCTGTGTGTCTGTGTCTCTGTGTGTCTGTGTGTCTGTGTGTGTCTGTGTGTGTGTCTGTGTGTGTCTGTGTGTCTGTGTGTGTGTCTGTGTCTGCCTCTCGGTGTCTGTGTGTCTGTGTCTGTGTGTCTCTGTGTGTGTGTGTGTCTGTGTGTCTGTGTGTGGGGGGGGCGGGAAGAGGACAACATCCGCCCACACAGACACACGCGCGCGCCACCACCCACCCTCCCTCCTCGCTTCTCCATGTTGATCGTTGCTCTTCCCGCCACTCCAAAAAATTAATGTCCGCCTCGTTGTTTGTTTTTGCGTGTTTTTTTCCCCCAGCTATCCTGTGGTGTTGGGTCCTCGTTTTGAAGAAACAGCGCCCCTGCGTCCCTCCTCCTCTCCTCCCCTCCCCTTTCCTCTCCTCCTCCCCCTCCTCCCCCTCCTCCCTCCTCCCATCCGCCTCGTCACCTCCCTGCATTTCACCCACCCAAGACAGCGCTTCGTGGCCTCATAGGGAGCTCCACCGAAGACTCCAGTGGCACAGGCCGCGTGCGTTAACGCCACTCAGTGCAGCGCTGGCCCCATAGGGAGCTCCACCGAAGGCTCCAGTGGCACAGGTCGCATGCGCCAGCGCCACCCAGGACAGCGTTTCGAGGCACCATGGGGAGCTTCACCGAAGGCTCCAGCGGCACAGGCCGCATGCGTCAACGCCATCCAGGACAGCGATTCGTGGCCCCATCGGGAGCTCCACCGAAGGCTCCAGAGGCACAGGTCGCATGCGTCAACGCCATCCAGGACAGCGATTCGTGGCTCCATAAGGAGCCCCACCGAAGGCTCCGATGGCACAGGCCGCACGCGTAAACGCTATCCAGGATAGCGTTTCGTGGCCCAATAGGAAAAGGTTCCAGTGGCACAGGCCGCATGCGCCAACGCCACCCAGGACTCGTGGCCCCATATGGGGGTTCCACCGAAGGCTTCAGTGGCACAAGCCGCATGCGTCAACGCCACCCAGGATTCGTGGCCCCATCGGGAGCTCCACCGAAGGCTCCAGCGGCACAGGCCGCATGCGTCAACGCCACCCAGGACAGCGCTTCGTGGCCCCATCGGGAGCTCCACCGACGGCTCCAGTGGCACAGGCCGCATGCGTCAACGCCACCCAGGACAGCGTTTCGTGGCCCCATAGGGAGCTCCACCGAAGGCTCCAGTGGCACAGGTCGCATGCGCCAGCGCCACCCAGGACAGCGTTTCGAGGCACCATAGGGAGCTTCACCGAAGGCTCCAGCGGCACAGGCCGCATGCGTCAACGCCATCCAGGACAGCGATTCGTGGCCCCATCGGGAGCTCCACCGAAGGCTCCAGAGGCACAGCCCGCATGAGTCAACGCCGCCCAGGACAGCGCTTCGTGGCCCCATCGGGAGCTCCACCGACGGCTCCAGTGGCACAGGCCACATGCGTAAGCGCCACCCAGGACAGCGTTTCGTGGCCCCGTAGGGCTCCGCCGAAACCAGTACCCACAATGCGGCACTCGCAACTGCAGATGGGCGGGTCCTTCGTCAGTGTTTTTTTTGTTCGGGGGGAGGGGGGGAAAACGACAACTCCCGCCCACAACAGCTCTTTTCCCCTTTCTTCCATGCACCCTCCACCACAGGAGGAGGAGGACGAGGAGTAGGAGGACGAGGAGGAGGAGGAGGAGGAGAAGAAGGAGGAGGAGAAGAAGGAGGAACGAAGGTCTGGAGAGCATTGCATTATCACAGCCTGGGGACGCGTCCCTGCATCAGATTTCGCCGCTCGGCTTCAAGGGGTTCTGCTGGTGGCGGAAGCGGTAAAGCGTCGTGGCGCCCCTCGGGATGCCGAAAAAAGGACGTAGCGCCAGCCAGCATCGAGCCCCGGCGGTGCAGAGTGCAGATGGCGCTATATTTTAACGTGTCCAGGCCACCCGACAAACAACGTTTTGAATTGTCGATGCTTCACGCATCCCCACCAGCCCATCCAGAAACGACTGCTAGGGGAGCTGCTCGAATCAGGGCAGTGCAGAAGCATGCAGTAGCACGGTTGCCTTGGAAGCGTGCGGGGGTGACAGAAGCGGTGGGAACATCAGTTGGAAGATTGAACTCACTTTCTTATGCCGCGTTGCGAGTCGAGGTCGCACAGACGGAGGCGAAGTTCCCCACATCTGCGTCTCAGTTTTTGGCACTCCCGTCTGTGAGTGTCTGACTGAGATCACCTGAGCATGTCTCAGGCGGGTGCAGGGCAATCCGCCTGAGACATCCCCACCACTCGGGCGCGAACAGGGGGCACATGTCCTAACCCCTGGCGGCTGCTCCTTTGGGTGCTCAAGTGCAACGCCTGCTGCATAGCGATCAGCATGGGCAATGGGCTCTATAAACAGAGAAGTGGAATCAGGTAAACATGCAAACAATCTGGGCGCAAACGGGGGGCAAATGTCCCCACCTTTGGCGGCTGATTCTTGGGAGGCTGTAGTGCCACGCCTGCTACATCGCGATAAGCATGATTTGAAAAGATACGAGTCTGGTCAGCCAAGACGGCAAACCGCCTGAGACCTCCCCACAATTTCTGGAGGGCTCTCGGAGGCTTCCGAAAGTACGGACCACGACACGGGGGATCCGAAACGATGCGGTGACAGACCGTGCGGTGACCTCAAAATCCGCAAAGGCCTCACAGCACCGTTTTGGGACCCTGGAGGCCCCAATGCCAGAGTCGTCCTCGGAGAACGACCCAAGTCCAAAGACTTTGCGTGGGGGGTGCAGGGTGCAACATGGCCTAAGGCACGCGCGCGGCCCTGGGGGGGGGGGCAACAGAACGTATTGAGGGAAGGACAAGAAGAATTGGAAGGATGAGAAGAGACAGAAGGAGGGACCATCCGAGTCATGACATGCGTTTCCCTGGCCATGACATCTCCCCCTAGTCATAAAGCCCGAGTCACCCACGGGTAGGGATTCGGGGTGACCGCACGGCCTTGGACAACTGGGGCCTCCAGGGTCCCAAACCGGTGCGGAGACGGACCGTCAGGTGATCTAGGCCTCCCAGATGGGGTCGGAGTAGATGGGGTCGGAGGATCGCGCCGCATCGTCGATGCATCGCCGATGCGGCTCGATGTTCAGCCCGATTTGCTCCACGTCGACGTCGCCGATGCCTCGCCCACGTCGACGATGCATCGCCGGTACATCGGTGATGCATCGCCGATACATCGCCGATGCATCGCCGATGTATCGCCGATGCGGCGGGATCCTCCGACCCCATCTACTCCGACCCATTCTAGGAGGCCTCTAGGTGAGGTCATTGGGGGTTCCGAGGTCATCGCGCGGTTTGTCACCGCACCTTCTTGGGGCCACCAAGATGCTCAGAAGCTGGCTTCCAGCGGCGGCTGGACGACTCGATGTTCTCGAGGCCCCAGGAGTTTGCTGGGGGCGCCCACAGGTGTGCGTGTGTGTCTGTGTGTGTGACTACAGGAGGATGTCATGGCCAGGGCCATGCTATCTCCCTGGATTGCATGACTCCTTCTTCTCCTTCTTTTTCTTCTTCTTCTCCCCAACGCGTTCCCTGCCCCCCCCACCCCTCCATGGGCCCCGCGCGTACTTTGGCCCATGAATTGCGAACCCACCTCTTGGACGCACGCCTCTTAGACGCCCCCGAGCTTGAGTTTGGGGTCGCTGACGGTCTTCCCCACCGGGGCGGAGGACGAGCTCAACCAGCTGAGGCAAAAGTGTCTGCAGCTGGAGATCTCGCTGCAGTCCCAGGCGACCCCCCCGCCATAGAGGGACGGGAGAGTGGGAGGGGACCCAGACCCCCTGGCTTCGTGAATAGAACACCTCGGATGTGCTTCTTATGTTTGCATGTTCGTCCCCTGGGGCTCCTCGCCAGATCCCGGGGACGTCAAATTAATGATGCTAGCAAAAGACCCAGCCATACGCAAGTGCGAGTACTGTGCGGCAGGTGGGACAAAGGAGGGAGATCTCGTTGCGGGGCCGTGAGGCCTGTCAGGGGTGTGCCGGCATGGGCCAGGAGCCGCAGGTGGATGGGGCTTCAGACGCAGCTTCTTTCTATGGGGCCGAGGAACGTGAGATACGCCAGAATGGGCGGGGAGGTGCATGTGGACGCACCCACCAGTGTGGCCTTCGAAACTCCCTAAGGTGTCACGAGCAGGGTGCGGGGTGTGGAATGGGCGGAGAGCCGCATGTGGACTCCCACCACCTTGGGCCTTCGGTGTAAATCCCTATGGGGCCAGGAAGCGTGCTAGGGGGGTGACCGAATGGGCTAGGAGGAGCCGCATGTGGTCGCGCCCTTTGGGGCCTTGGGTGGAGCTCCTTATGGGGCCAGGAAGCGTGTGAATGGGCGGGGGAACGCATATAAAGAGGCCCTTGGGTGGAGCTCTTTTTTGGAGTCACGAAACGTGTGAGGGGTGTGCCCACATGGGCTGGGGAACCGCAGATGTGGACGCACTCGGGGCCTATGGTGGAGCTCCCAATGGGGACACGAAGCATGTGAGGGATGCGCTGGAAAGAGGACCGGTAAGCCCCATGTGGACGCATTCACTTGATCCTTAGGTGGAAGTCCTTATGGAACCACGATGCGTGTGAGGGGTTTGCCGAAATTCGCTGGGGGACGCTATGCGATCTCCCCGCCCCCGGAGGCCTTATGTGGACCTCCCTACGGGATCACGAAACATACGAGGGATGTGTACCGAATTGGGCTGGGGAGCGCCATGCGACCCCCCTCCTGGAGAGTTCGGTGGAGCTCCCTGTAGGACCGCAAAGCGCAGGAGGGGTGTGCCGAAATGAACTGGAGGACGCTATGCGCCCCCCCCCCCCCTGGAGCCCTGGGTAACGCTCCATATGGGGCCGCCAAACGTGTGAGGGGTGCGCCCATGTGGGGACCGCGGAACGTGCGAGGGGTGTGCCGAAATGGGCTGGTGGACGCTGTGCGACCCCCCACCCCTCGTGGGAGCTTTAGGTGGAACCTGTTGTTTTTGGCCACGGGGCGTTTAAGGGGTTGCCGAAAAGGCTTGGGTGACGCTATGCGACCCTCCCCGTGGGGCCCTAGGTGAAGCTCCCTATGAGACCACGAAGCGTGTGATGGGCGTGCCGACATGGGCACGCGGAGGGCAGGGGCAGGGACGCGAGGATAGAGGGGAGGAGGAGGAGGCGGAGGAGGAGGCGGAGAGAGGAGGAGGGAGGGAGGAGGAGGAGGAGGAGAGAGGAGGAGGGAGGAGGAGGAGGAGGAGAGAGGAGAGAGGAGAGCGAGGAGAGAGGAGAGAGAGAGAGAGCAGATAACAGAGAGCAGAGAGCAGAGGGCAGAGAGCAGAGAGCAGAGGCAGAGGGCAGAGAGGCAGAGGAGAGAGGAGGAGGAGGAGGACGAGGAGGAGGAGGAGGAGGAGAGAGGAGAGAGGAGAGAGGAGAGAGGAGAGAGGAGAGAGGAGAGAGGAGAGAGGAGAGAGGAGAGAGGAGAGAGAGCGGAGAGATGAGAGAAGAGAGAGCAGAGAGCAGAGAGCAGAGAGCAGAGAGCAGAGGGCAGAGAGCAGAGAGCAGAGGGCAGAGGGCAGAGAGCAGGGGAGAAGAGAGGAGAGAGTTGGAGACGCGGGGCGCTGTCTCACCAGAACGAGCACCCCAGAGCCACAGGACGACGGTGAAGAACCACTCGGAACATCCTGGGGAAGGGGTCGACACCGTGAAGAAACCGGAGTCGGGGAGGGGCAGGATCCTGGCATCGCTCGGACGTGTACATTTTTTCTCGGCGAGGGCGATCGAGGAGCATCCTTGCTCATGTCTCGAAAAAACCACGCACGAAACCGACAAAACACAGGAAATGGACGTTCGAGCGATGGCCAGGGATGGGAGCGGCGGAGAAGAGAAGGCGGAGGAGCCGCCCTCGTCGGCGGCGCGCACGGAAGGGCGGCGCGAGGGCGGGCGCTCCGACAAGCCAGGGGCGCTTCTGACGGGGCCCTTGCCCAAGTCGGGCGATCGCAAACATGCATCAAGGGGGCGTTGAGCAGCGACGGGTCCCGTTCCCATGGGAAAGCGCAGATTTCCGCCGCCGAGCGAGGCGGCACCGGCCGCATTTCATGGGTTTGGCGAGCGCGCGCCCAAGCCATGGATCGCTACAGTCAACCCGTATCATAAGGATGCGCGGTAAGGATGCAAGGGCCTTGGACACCCATGCCCAAGCTCTTCGAGCGGGGCAGGCCATTGAAGGTGTGTGAGTCAAGGACGGAAGATGACCGAAGAGGTAAGGACGCAAGGATACGCTTGGGAAGTTGATCATCCTTACTATGTTCGCAGGCCTAGAGATTGACACCAACACTAATATCGGCGGTGTTCCTCCACCGAGGGAAGAAAGATACCGATCTCGGTGATGGTGGTAATATTCTGGCTTCCAAGGTGGCCGAAATATTACCACCAACATCGAAATCTAGGATTATCTCCCCCCTGTGGAGGCAGCCCCCCGTCCTGGTGTTGGTGTCCATTTCCAGGCCTCCAATATGTGGGTTGACTGTCATCCATGTTTGCGCGCCCCCGACCCAGGGGCGCGCGCGAGGGCGCGTAGCTCTGCGCGCTGCGCGCTCTGCGGCTCGGCCTCGCTGCATCCTCGGCCTCCTCTTTCGGGAGGGGAAACACACGGACACAAGTAATCTCACTAGCCTCGAACTTATCCCTGTCCCTAAGATTGACACGCTAAAAGGAGATGACAATCTTAGGGATACACCCTCAGAAACTGAGGAAATTCCTGGGATCGCCATCGTGATGAGGCGATGCCCAACATAGGGATAGGGATATGTTCCAGGCTGGTAGTAATCGCCGATCCCCAGGACAAAATATGGGAAAATATGGATGGTGGGGCGGAAGACGAAAATACAGAAAATACGGAAACATATTGGGAATCTTGGGATTTGTGTGTGTGTGTGTGTTTATTCGTGTGCCCCGGGGCCCCTTGACTCTTCTCCCCTGGGGGGGCGGCGCGGGAGTGCGCCGTTGTTCGCGCTTCGCGCAGCGCAACCCTCCAGCTCCACCTGCCATACCTTCCGACCTCCGCGGAAGGTGCGGAAGTATTGATCGATATGTTTTTTGAAATTTTGCGTCGTTCAAGGGAACCCACATGGATTGTATTGAAAAGGGGGCGGAAGGTTAGGGCGGAAGGTCCAGAATAATGAGGGGGCGGGAAGCGCAAAGTTAGTCGCCCTTTGTTGCGTTCTGAGCAGCCACCCGGCATTTCTCGAAGGCCCCCCCCATTGCGCCACCCCTTGTGCGCGCCAGCGGTCCTCTCCGGCAGGAGGAGGGGGCGAGTGGGAAGAGGAGGAGGAGGAGGAGCGGACAGGAGGGAGGAGAGGGAGGAGAGGGAGTAGAGAGAGGAGGAGAGGAAAGGGAGGAGTAGGAGGAGAAGGGGGAGGAGGAGAAGGAGGAGAGGGAGGAGGGAGGAAAAGGAGGAGAGGGAGGAAAGAGAGGGTGAGAGGGATGATGATGAGGAGGAGGAGGAGAGGAGGAGGAGGAGGGAGGAGGAGAGGGAGAGAGAGGAGGGAGGAGATGGAGGAGAGGGAGGAGAGGGAGGAGGGGGTGGAGAGGGAGGAGGGAGGAGGGGGAGGAGAGTGAGGAGGGAGGAGAGCAAGGAAAGGGAGGAGGAGAAGCAGGAGGGAGGAGAAGGGAGGATGACCGGATTAGTGAGGCCAGGGAGGAGCGGGCGGGAGCCCTGTTCCGGAACGGAGCGGCCCTCCATCATTGCAGCTACAAGGAGTGCGATAAGGCGGGGCCATGATATTCGAGTACATGTCAAGCGACATCCCCGTTTTGTTGCACGGTCTCAGATTTCTGGCGATGGAATTAAACGAAGTCTTTAGCGTGCACGCAATTTTGAGAGCAACACCCGCCTTCTGTCCGCATAGATGGGCAATGGTGCACAATTTCAATGCCCCGGGTAAGCAACAACGGAAGTCTCATGCGAGAGCCACATTTCCACAAAGAACCACCCTCTGTCCCTGGAAACCATGTGTAGCTCTCAAGGTGAGTGTGCGCAGCGCCAGTGCGAGTGCCCCAGTTTGAAACGATTCGACCTCCATCCGTGAAGCCGTGGCGCCGAGGCTCATGGCGGGCGCGCGCAGCGCCGAGGCCGGTCCCCCATTTTTGTAGGATTCGCCCTCCATCCGTTCAGCTGTTGGGCTTCTCGAGTGTCAATCTCGTGGACGGTGAGGTCGGCGACATTTGTGGCCCGGAAGGAAGATGCAGAAACGAGGTAGATGCCCTGCTCCCGTAGGAGGTGGGGGATCTTGGATCGCCGGTTCGGCGGTTATCTCCTTTTGAGGGCATTCGGGAGGCTGGCTCTCGTCGTCACGGCACGCCTCCCTCCCCTCCCTCCTGCGATCTCGTTCCCTCTTGCCGCCTCCCTCCCTCTCCCCATCGCCGCTCCTGCCCTCGAATCGTGCGCGGGGGGGGGGGCATGAGGCGAGAAGGGGGAGGTGGAAGAAGGAGAATGAGTGAGAAGGAGGAGGAGGAGGAGGAGGAGGAGAAGGAGAGCGTGGAGGAGGAGGAAGAGAGGGAGGAGTGCAGGTTGGACGAGTTAGGAGGTAGGAGGAGTGAAGAGTAGGGGGAGGAGGCGGAGGAGGAGGAGGAGGAGGAGGAGGAGGAGGAGCGAATCTGCGCGCTGGGCATCTCTTCCTGTGGCTGCGTGCCCCCGCCGAGGATGCGAGCCCCTGTGTGGACGGGAGGCGCGCGCGTCTGCTGGGTCCGCAGGCGCAGGAGCCAGATGCCCCTTGGCGAGTCGCCATCCTCCTCCTCCTCCGACTCCTCCGTCTCCTCCTCCTCCTCCTCCTCCTCCTCCTCCTCCTCCTCCCTCCCTCCTCCTCCTCCTCCTCCTCCTCCTCCTCCTCCTCCTCCTCATCCTCCTCCTCTCCTCCTCCTCTCCTCCTCCTCCTCCTCCTCCTCCTCCTCCTCCTCCTCCTCCTCCTCCTCTCCCTGGGCGCGTGCCGCCCCTCGCTAGCCACGCGCAGAGGGGGGGCAGGTCGGGGCTCAAGAGACGGGGAGAGACGGGGTCAATGCAAACGGTCTGCACGAACGAAATGGGCACGGAAAGAATGGATACGATGCCCAACAGCAGTTCTTGTTCATTTTGAACAGGACTCGCTGTCCACGCCGCCGCGGCCTGTGTCCATTCGAGACAGAAGGCTGCCCGCCCAACCGCGGCCGCTGATGGTTTGGGACAACATTTGTTGTTGGGCATTGTGCCCATTCTTTCCGTACCCATTTCGGGAGTCCAAAGCGAGTGCGCGTCCCCCATCTTCCCCGTCAAGCAGTGGCGAAACGTGGCTGTATCAGCGTCACCCCAACATACTCATACTGTATGTGCGTCGTCCCCCCTAGCGGCGACGCGCGCATCGAGAAATCTTAGGGCGCTTTCTGGCCACACCGCTCGGGAAACGATGCACTACAAGATGGGTCTACTACAAGTTCGGGTCGGACGCGCGCCTCCAAGGAGGACATAGTAGTAGCATGTATCCGTGCTTCCCACTATAGGCCCACCAACTAATGTTCTGAGAACCTCCTGTGGTTTCTACGAAATGTTCTCAGAACGCTGATGGCCGATATGGCCTTAGTTTAAAACATAGGGCTGATGTTCTAAGAACATGCATTTTGTTGTTGAAACATCGGTGGGTTCTGAGAACATGTCGTGGTAGGCCTATAGGAATACAGGGACGGTCGGTCCCTGCTCAATCCCTCCGCGGCTGTGCATGTTGCTGTGCGTTCCCCATGTACCATCTCACCGTCCACTCTCCCATGTCCGCCGCCGTTGACAGGGCGCTTAAGTCATACCGCACAGAGCAGATGCGCATACGGGTCACACGTAGATGCGAGCCTGGACACACGACGACCGTGGCCCAGCAGGCGACACAGGCACCGAATCAGCCTCACACCCGCTGCTGGCACGAAGAAGGTTTCACCAGCACCAGAGCTCCGCGAGATTGCTTCTGCGGCGAGAGCCTCGAGATTGCCTGCCAGGTGGGTCACTGCCCACGCCTCCCCTGAGGCGCCCGAAGGTACCTGCCAGGACGCTTCCCTCGGCAGCCTGAAGGTACCTGCTTGGACGCTTCGCTGAGGCCCCGAAGGTACCTGCCAGGACGCTTCCCCGAGGCACCCGAAGATATTTATCAGAGTTCCTGTGCAGCCGAAGGCACCTGCAAGTACGCGCCCCTGAGGCACTCGAAGGTACGCCCCACTCCATCGACGTCCGCGAAGGATTACCTCGCGTCGCAACCCCAGCGAGCATCGTCCCACCCACCAAACACCGCCCCACCCACCAAACACCGCCCCACCCAGCAAACACCGCAAAGATCGCGGAGGACGAGGCCGCCCCCCCCCCACCCCCCACGGGTGGACGAGCCCGTTCGGCGCCTCCTTTGCGCAGCGCCAGCCTTGAACGGGCAGTTTTTGCGGCGGCGAACGCGTGGGCAGGGTGTCCCGCTGCAGGGGTTGTTCGGCCGTCCGCGCCAGGGCGCCCAACTCCGCCAACAAAAAATGCACTGGCGCGCAAACACCTACATTTTTTTGTCGCCCCGCCGCGGCCCCATGCGGACGGCCCGTTGTTGCGCGCACCCGAGGCCAGGAACCAGAAGCGGCTGGAGTCCGAGCTCGCGCACCACCAGGCGTGGCCCGCCGCCCCAGGCCCGCCCGCCGAGGCCGCCCACCTTTTCGGCGGCCCCTCGGGTCAAGCAGTGGCCGGACGGGTCTGGTTACCAGCCTCGAACGTATCCCTATCCCTAGGAATGACACGCCAAAAGGCGATGACAAGCTTAGGGATCCGCCCTCAGAAAACAAGGGAATCCCTAAGATTGGCATCGTGATGAGGAGATGCCCAGCATAGGGATAGGGATATGTTCCAGGCCGGTAAGCTGGGACGAGGATGAATCCTCCCCAGGGCGTGCCAGGACGCTGTCGGAGCGCTCCGGAACGCTCTGAGAAGGCCGCCGTGCCCGATGCCCTCCAGAATCACCGGATCGCAGAGGTTCAATGTATCCTCACCCGAATATGTCCTCGTCGTGGTTTCGTCTTACACCTTTGGCGGCCATTCGGGTCAATATATGGCCCAACGTCTTGACCTGTCTAGATCACCACCAACAAGTGCTCTGAGAACTTCCGGTGGTCTGCACGTGATGCTCTTAGATCCTTTCTGTCGGGGGTGGACAGAACCCTCCCCCTCACACGTCGATTAGTGAATTGTCCGTTTTCGGTTCTCGAGAGGGCGCCGCTGCCGTCATTTTCCAGGCTTGCGCCCGCCAGGTTTGGGCCCGAGGTCGTTTTCGCGAAACCACATTTTACTATAGGGGGGTCTGTCCATCCCCGATTCTGGCTGAGACTGTCTTGTTTCAATGCATCGGCTTTCTGTTCTAGGAACGGTGTGCATGTTCTGACATCAGTCCTGTGGCCCCAAGAGGTTTTCGTGGTGTGCCTATATAGGAATGCCGGCACAGTCGGTACCAGTTCAAGTCGGCAACCTTGAGACGGGGGTCAATGCAAACGGGGGTCAGCCAGGGCATTGGATCCTGCAAGATCCTGCGAAGCCCCCCTCTGGCTGACCCGGGTTAGCGAGCCGCTCATGGCCGCGAGGCGGCCGCGCATGTTGGTTGACCCGGGTTTGCGAAGCCCTGCGGTGCAGTTTTTGTTTAATCGGTTCGCTCATTTCCGCCGGCCCTGGAGCGCTATTTGGGGCCTCGTGGGGCCGTTTTGGGGGCTTCTTGGGGGCTTCTTGGGAGCGTCTTGGGGCTCCTTGGCGGCGTATTGGGCTCCCCTGGGGCCTCTTGGGGGGCTCTTGGGGGCCCCTTGGGGCGGGAGGGGGGGTAGTCGTTGGCAGCCCCCCCTCGGAGGCCACGATCCTCGTGAGGGGTGGCGAAAAATAGCCTCCCCCCTGGGGATCGCCCGGGGATCAGCCGGGGATCGGCCAGGGTACTTTTCGTCCGGGGCCCCCCAGGGGCCGCCCCGCGCGCGCGAACTAGAAATATTGTTAAGTAGTTACGGGAGATCTTAGCACGCCAGCAAATTTTTGGGGACGATTTGTCTACCATTTTTGACTATTTGGGAATCTTGTTTGGGCTACTTTCTATGTTTCCTCCAACATCCGCCTGTAGGAGGACGTGCCCGACCTCAGCATATCCGCGGGATCGCGCTCCAGGATCCAGACCGCGAGGGCGCGGATACAGCGCATTCTCGCCGCCCGTGAGCGGCTAGCCGCCCGCCCAGCCGGCCCGCCGAAGCCGCACGCGGCCATTCGGGAGGGCGATCGGCGGCATTGGGCTATGATGTTCCAACCTACTGTAGCTTTGATTGCCAGAGAGAGTTTCGAGCGCCAGTAAATGCCGAAACCGGATACTCGTTCGACAGTGTTCCGATATTTCTTGGGGTGCTCGAAATTGTTTTGGGGCTGTGGTCCTTAAGTACGATGGGAACAACATAAGCCCTGGGGAGGCCCTTGAGATTTCCTGGGCTTTCGGATGCTTTCGTGTGCTCCTGTAGGGATTCCTGCCTCGGGATGCGTTCCAGCAGCCGCGCCTCGCCGAGAGGCGTCCAGGGGTGACCAGCGCGTCGCCGCCAGAGACTCTAGTTATTACCCGAAGACGAGACGCCGTCGGCGGCCCTTCGGGAGGTCGACCCGCGGCCCTCGGAGGACCTCGGAGGCGGATCGGAGGACCTCAACAGGCTCCGGAAGGCCTCTCGGGAGGAAACGGGAGAATCATTGGATGTTCGTGGTTGGGACCTTCTTAGGGCCCACCTAGCGGATTTATTATATTCTCGTTTGACTCTAGCTCGACATTAGTTCGACTCAAGCTCGGCTCAAGGCGACGGACGATCGACGTAGCATGTATGCATGAATGGAGCGGTAGGCTCCAGGAAGGTGCCAAGAACGAGCATCAAATTTGAGATCGGAGGACCCCAATTGCCATCGGTCGGATGATATCATGACATCTTGGGAGCATATATGATACGTTGGCACGAAGTCCCCCCAAAAATCAGGACGTCTGTCAGGTTTGGTGCAAAGCAGAAACATACCTTGCGAAGGTAAAACTCTTGGCCTTCGACTTGACGTCTGCGGGCGTGCACCGCCATTCGCACGGGGAGCCGTGGACCAGAGGTTTCATGAACAAGTTTATATGTTCCACTTGGACGATCACTCATTTACATAATTAAGACGTGCTTCAATCCATGGCTATGAAGATCAATATGCTCTCAGGTCCCGGCATTCGCAGATGGAACATGATCGTACCAGGGTCCGAGAACGGCTCTAGGGACTCTTGAGTCGAGGACAATCTCCGATATTACAAATTAAACCGCAGCAGGTTCGGGACCCTCAAACGTCGATTCTTTTTCCTCCTTCCACCCCCACCGCCGTCCGAAAATTTGGCCCGAAAAGCCTCGAACCGAGAATCGTCGACCCTCGAAGTTTCGGACCTCGGCCCGAAAACTTAGACAAAAAACAAGTCATCGCCCTCTTTGTAGAACACCCCGTACCGGAAGAGCGCAATCCTCAACCCTGACAACCTCGATCTTCGATTTTGGGAGCTTCCATCGTCGACCAGACCATGTTTGATCTCTGAGCTTGAAGTCGTCGACCCTCGACCCAACAACACATCAACCCTTGGCCCAGACTCGATCCCCGCGTCACAACACCTCTATCTCTTCTCATCGTTCCTCCCCCCGGCCTCCCTTCGTCTTGGAGTTTAATCCTGAATCTTCGAGCCTGGATCCTCGAATCCTGACCCTCAGTCCTCCACTCTTCTCTTCCGCAGGAGGTACTGAGCCATGCGCCGCCACCGTGGCTGGCCAGGGCCAACCCTGGCCCTCAAACTCCGGTCCGAGAGGCCTCGACCCCCGATCCGCAAGGCTGCGATCCTCGATGCCAAAAGTCTCGACCCTCTTTCCCCGAACCTCGATCCCAAAAAGAAAAAAAACATCCTCGGTCCCAAAAAGGGACAAAGATCCTCTTGACGGGCGAAGGGGGGGGATAGGGAAGGGGGCGATACGAAGCCCGTTGCGGCCCTGCCGCAGGTCGCTTTCCCTTATGCACTGGCGCCTCCCAGCGCCAGGTGGCGCCGGGGAAACCAGCTGTGTGAGCCGTTTCGCGAACCCCCCCTCTTTGCTTTCTCCCCCGCCAACTTTTCACTCCCGAATTCTCGAGGGAGAGAGGAGCGACACCACCACGACCAGGGGGCCTACCTCCAGCGAGGAGGTTCACGATGCCTCCCCGAGCTGGGGGTCGGGGAATTCCTGAGCGAGAGCGGGGACCCCCACCCACTGCCATGGAGATCCCCCTTGGTTTCTTCCGCTGGTGGTTTCTGGTGATGATGATGATGGTGTCGCTACTCCTTGTTTCTAGATCTTCGATAATCCGTCCCCTGTCTTTTTCCCCTTCCTCTCCCTACTTGATCCCCCCCCCACACACGCTGCCGCGAGGCGATGGCGCAGGAGGACCCGGGCCGAGCCGCCGCGCAACCGCGAAGCAGCAACTTGCATGTACACATTACTCGACGCGGAGATCCCCACTTGTGCATCACATGCTCACATGCTCTTGCCACGTCTCTCTGAAGAACTTTGTTGATGAGTAGATGGGTGTGAGAGCGAGCCAACGTACACGACAGGCGCGGCAATGACGACAGCGACGGTTTCACTGACGTCTGGCAAGCGCGCACGGCGTCGCTACGCCCCCTTTCTGGCGTGTTACTCGCGGCGCTCGTTGGCAGTTGAGGTACCAGAGTGCCACCCCGGCTATATTGCGGTAGCAATTCGTGCGTGCGGTTTAGAGCCAATGGGTGATCTGAGTGTGGGCAAGTCGGGGTGTGAGCGGATCTAAGTACGAATGAGTCTGGATGTGGGTGAGCTTGTAAGATTGTCAGTTTGAGTACGAGTGGGTCTGAGTATGAGTATGAGTGAGTGTGAGTGCGAGCGGGTATAAGTGCGAGCGGCTCCGAGTGTGAGTGGGTCTGCGTGCGCGCGGGTTTGAGCTTGTCGATGACGAGTACAGTTCTGAGTATGTGTAAGCTTCGGGCGGGGTGGCCCGAGTATGAGAGAATATGACAGAAGGCGGGCGAGTCCTACTGTGATGGAGTCGAAGTGTGAGTTGGTCCGGGGCCGGGTGTGTTTCAGCCTCGGCGAGTCTGAGTATGAGTAAATATGAGTGAGTTTGAATACGAGATAATATGGGTTTGGGTGAGTAGGAATGTGATGATTGGGCCCCAGTGAAGGAAACGTATTACATTCGAGTGCGAATGATCGCGCTTGCGTGGGGACAGCGGGAAGGATGTGAGTTCGCGAGGTGCGCGCAAGTCCAACGTCCGCCGGGCAAAAGTTGGCAAACGGCGTAAGACATCCCCGCAATCTTGGCGCGAATCTTGGAGTGTCCCCACCCGTGGCGGCCTCCCGTTGGAACACCCAAGTGCCACGCGTGTCATATCGCGGTGAGCATTGGACCATAACGAAAATGTCGCGGGCACGAACAGGCAAATCGCTTGAGACACTCCACCATCGGGGCGCGAATCCTGGAGTTTGCCCACCCGTGGCGGCTCCCCTTTTGGGTGCCCATATGCAACGCGTGTTGTATCGCTGTGACCATTGGAGCAGCAACAAAGAAATCTGCCGGGCACAAGGTGGCTAACCGATTGAGACATCCCTACCACGTTGGCGCGAATCCTGGAGTTCCCAGCCTTGGCGACTCTCCGCTTGGGCGCCCAAGTGCCACGCCGGCTAGATCGCGGTGCGCATTGGACCATCAATATGAAACGCATGCGGGGCAGAGAATGGCAAACCAGTTGAGACATTTCCACCATTGACCAGAAGAAAATATTTAGAAACCCGCCAACCCTCTTTTTTCGGCGAAGCGATAACGCAGCCAGCACCCTGAAGTGTGACCCTGGCATCGTGGCGTTTGGCCGTTGATTCGCACTCCTTCGGGGCCCCCAGCAGCCTTCGAAACTGGCGAAAGTGGGAGGCAATTGCCATTTACTACTCGGTGCGGTTCGGTGCGGTGCTACGTATCGTTCCGCTGAATCCGCCCCGGTGGACTATTTCTTTTCGTTTCGGTGCTGACGCACCTGGCGGTTCCATCTTTGGGTGCCCAGAGGCCATGACTTCCATATCGCACTTGGCATTGGAAACCTGGACGTAGGTATAAACAGACAGTCCGCTTAAGGCACCCCCACAATCTGGAAGTTGCCTTTTGGAGTGCCCCGACCGCTGGCGGCTGCCCATTGGGGTGCCCAGGTGCAGCGCCTGCTATATATCGCTGGGAGCAGTGGGCCTCCGAAGGTGTAACGTCGGGAGGGCGGCAGCACGTAAACCGTTTTTGAGATATCCCCACAGTCTGGGCGCGAATCCTGGGCTGTCCCCACTCCTGGTGGCTCCCCTTTGGGGTTCGGGGGTGGACAGAAACCCCAAAGCAGTGACACGTCGATAAGTGAGTTGTCCGTTTTCGGTTCTCGAGAGGGCGCCGTGGCCGTTATTTTCCAGGCTTGCGCCCGCCAGGTTTGGGCCTCGGGTCGTTTTCGCCGAACCACGTTTTACTGAAGGGGGGTCTGTCCATCCCCGAGGGGTGCCCATGTGCCACGATGTCGAAATGGCGGTGGGCATGGAAGCACCAAGAGAGCAAAGTCGAGAGGGGGGCAGCAGATGAGGAGGTGCCCAGCATAGGGATAGGGATATGTTCCAGGCTCGTAAACATTCGCCTTCTCTGGGTGCGACTTCGGGGGTGTGCTCACTCTTGGCGGGTCCCCGCCGGGGTGCCCAAGGGCCACGCCTGCTAATCTCGCGGGGAGCACTGCACCACGAGCACCAAAACATCTGAGGGGCAGAAGCTTTTTTGATTCGCGGGTCGAGAGCGCACCTCTTCCGATCGAAGCTAAGTGGGCCGCGCGAAGCTTGAATTAACAAAGAGGGGGGGACAGAAGGAGCGCGGCCTCACGGCAGGGGGGGCAGAAACAGGGAAACGGTTTCTGAGAAATCCCCACGTGTTTGTTGGCGCGATGTCTGGAGTGTGCTCAGTCCTGGCGGCTTCCCCTTGGTGTGCCCAAGTGCGACGCCGGTTTGATCGCACTAAGCAGTGGACCGCCAGAAAGCACGGAGTGAGGAAGAGTGTGTCGGGGTCAGAGAGACTGAATGTGTATGAGTGAGGGTGCTTTCGAGGCTTTCTCCTTGAGTGGGTCTGAGTGAGTTTAAGTGAATATGAGTCTGAGTGAGTCTGCGTGAATGAATAATGTGGCTTAGTCTGCGTGAGGAAGAGTGAGTCTGTGATGGGGCCCGTGAAGAAGAGTGGCTCTGTCAAGTCTGTGATGGACCCCGTGAAGTCAAGACTGTTTCTTCAAGAGTACCTGCGTGATACGAAAGTAGAGAAGAGGAATAGGATAATGAGGAGAAGCAGGAATGAGGTCTGGAGGCTTCTCCGTAATAGCAGAAATCCCATCCTAAGACACGGGGAGTAAACTTTCGGAGATCCGCGCAGATCTCCTGGATCGGCGTTGGGCCCCCATGGCGAAGCCCCCGGCCCTGTATTTAGCGCGCTCAGCGCGCCGGAAAGGGCGTTTCCAGCGCAGATCAAACAAATCTGCGCGGACCATCCAAAGTTTTTGTTGATGCCTTCTGTCTTTTTCTATATAGGCTTAAATGGTACCTGTACCTAAGGATTGAGCGGCCATCGGCGAAGCGCTGGAGACAGCGGGGCAGCTTGCGGATCATCCGTGCTGCCAGAAGCGAGCAGTTGTCGGACATCGGGCCACGTCCTTGACGTAAATGATGTACGCTGGCTCTGGAATGCCTGGCCTCTCAGGGCAACCGCCGCTGCCCATTGGGTCGCCCGAAAACGTGCATCGCACAGGGCGCAAAGCACGATGCCCGCTCCGCCCTTCTCGAGGCCCGGGGCCAGGGCCACTCCGGCCCAGGCCTCGGAGCGCCATGCGCGCCTGTCGGGCTGCAGCGTGCCCTCCCTCGCGGCTCTCGCGCTTCTCATCCTGCACGGGAGTTTCCGCATAATGCTACCTTTTGCCCGTTTTCTCGTTTTTGGGTCTCCTGGGAGGCCCTTGTCGCAACCGCTGGATTCGCCTCGAAATCCTGGTCAGAACGCACCCCGGGAGAGGTCCAGGGAGTAGCGGTATTGGTACCTTTTCGTTTTCCCAGGGATGGGGGAGCAGCCTGTCGAGTTGGGACTTCGGGCTGGGAGAGAGAGAGCCAGGGCTCCGATAGGAGGTGCTTCTGGGCTTGGGGGCCAGCCCCAGCAACACCTGTCTGGCCCGTGTCACCCCGCTGTCGAAGCCCAGCCACAGGACACCGGCGGGATGCTTGGCACCGCGCCACCAGCAGGCGGGCTGCATGGCACCGCACCTCCGATCGGGCCCTCCGAGGGGGGGGGAGGGGCAGCAGCCCGCCGAGCCCACTGCGACTGCGGGCGGGCGGAAAGCTGAGGACCCAGCGGGGGGCAAAGCTGAGGACCCAGCGGGGGCTCTTGTGGGCCAGCCCGAACCGCCTCTCTGGCCTGCGTCGCCCCGCTGCCGAAGCCCAGCCACATGGCATCGGTGGGATTCGTGGCACCGCGCCCCCAGCAGGAGGGATGCATTTCGTGGACCCCTCCCCCTCATTCTGCCGGACCTTCCGCCCTGCCCCTCCGCTCCTTTTTCCGCTATGACCTACGTTTGCGGTTTTTGATGGGGACCGGGGAGGCCTAGCAACACGCGGGGAGCGGGGGAACGAGAGGCGTGAAGGGGGGCCTCGAGGGGGACAGGGCCAAGGCTCTGGACGCAGCGACGCGGCCCCTGGAGGAGCAGCGAGGAAAGGGCCAAGAAGGGGTGCAGCTCGGTCCGCCGTGGTTCAATTGCCAAGGCTGGGGCGAGCTGGCCGAAGGCATCGTGCCCAGGCTTCCGCGGCAGAGGCGGATGGGATCAAGAGAGAGCCGTGCTTGGACTCGATGGGGATGTGTAGTGCAGTCAGAAGGAGGAGAATGACGACGACGACGACGACGACGACGCCGACGCCGACGCCGACGCCGACGCCGACGCCGACGCCGACGCCGACGCCGACGCCGACGCCGACGCCGACGCCGCCGCCGCCGACGGCGACGGCGACGGCGACCGCGACGGCGACGGCGACGGCGACGGTGACGGCGACCGCCGACGCCGACGCCGACGCCGACGCCGACGCCATCGACGACGACGACGACGACGACGAAGACGACGACGACGTCGACGACGCCGACGACGCCGACGCCGACGCCGACGCCGACGCGAGCCGAGATCGCCTGGCGCAAGGAGCTCCGGCGGCTCCTGGCGACCGCCAGGGGGCCCCGGAGCGGCCGGTGACGCGCCGGGAGGGGGCCCTGGAGCGGCGGCCCGCCTGTAGGGGGGGGGAGGGAGGAGGGAGGAGGTCCCTCCCCTTTTCCTTCCCCCTTTCCTCCCTCCCCTTTTCCTCCCTCCCCTTTTCCTCCCTCCACCTTTCCTCCTTTCCCGCCTCCCTCCCCTCCTCCCTCCCCCTCCCTCGTCTACAGGAGGAGGGGACGGGAGGGGAGGGAGGAGGAGGGAGGAGGGGCAAGGGAGGAGGAGGAGGGAGGGAAGGAGGGAGGAAGAGGGAGGCCGATGGGAGGGAGGGAGGAGGAGGTGGTGGGGAGGCTGACGCCCCGAGCGTTCGCTCCAGCGGCTTGAAAAGAAAGGGAGGGAGTATGAGGGAGGGGGGGATCGAGCGTTCGCTCCAGTGGAGGGAGGAGATCAGAGGCAGAGATACCGACACCGCTGCTCGTCCTGTGTAGCACTCGTCACCAAGGCTGGCTTCACCCCGAAGTTCTTGTCCGAACGCACCGGGGAGAAGTCCGGGGAGTATCGGTATCTGTGTTTTTGTTTGTATCCCCAGGGGGATCGTGAAAGATGCGGAGGGGAAGGAGAAGGGGCGGCGCACGCCACCTCATCGCTCAGAACAGGAAGAAACACAAACACGAAGGGTTTTCATTGGTTTTACGCCGGAAGGGGGCGTCGTTGAGAGGGTGCCTGGCACGGATGCGGGGATCGAGGTGGCGTCGGTGTTTGGAGCTGGCCGTTTGCGTGGCAAGTGCGTTTAGCTGGCCGCATTTGTTTGTAACGCGTGACGGGTGGAAAGGCCGCTCACCAGCAATTGGCAGTCCTCTGCCCGCGTGCCAAACCATATCGTCGCGCGCTCGCAACCAGCAGGTGTGGGAAAGGGGATTCGAAAGAGAGCACGAGTCTCCTTCCAAAGAAGTCCCTTCCATAGACAGCAAACTTTTTTCGATTCATCTGCCGCACGGCCAACCGAACGAACGAACAACTGTCTCGGCGCGCAGTGCTAGCTTCGCTTACGCGCATCCTGGCTTCCTTCCGTTGCTTCCTTCGCTTCTGTCTCGCCCTCCTCTTCCTTCTCCTCTTTCCCTGCTTTGCCTTGTCCCGCCCCCCCTCCCTTTCCAGCTCGGAGCTGTCACCGCGCGCGAACAGCGCAACCCAAATGGCGTTGCTGAGCCTCTGAGTGTGCCGCGAAGTTTCGTGTAATTCCTTTGTGTGCGGTCTGGTTACATATCCAACGCGGGGGGCACACAGCATATTTTTTGTGTACGATCGTTTTCGCCGGCCCCACAAGAGCACGCGCGATTCATTTGTGTAGGGTTTGTTTTCCCGCCTCGAGGAGCGCACGGGGCCTGGCGCTACGAACGCAAGGCCACGTCGCTTGGCAGTGCGATGCAGCTGCGCCGGATACCACGCCCAAAACGATACCACGTGGATTTAGGCACTTCTGCCGAAATCGCGCTGGAAACTGGCCAGCCACATCGCGGACCCTGCATGCCCGCACGCTCTATTGCGTTCTGCTGCAGCGACGCGTGCTGCTGTCAACGGATGAACAAACTGACTTTGCATGGTGGTTTGTCTGTTCCAAACGACCATGTGATGTCTGTTGGTAACGGAGCTTGGGATACTGTCGCCACCGACAGCGCTGCCACGCCATACCTTTCAATTGCATATTAGAGCACGGCCGTGCATCAACCCTGGTTCGGATCGCCGGGGATCCAGTGGTATCGGTGCACATGCGTTGCACCGCTGGTGGTGCCAAAACCCTTTTGTGTGGAATCCGTTTGTGTGTGTTTGTTTCTTATGGCTCCTAGTCGCGGGTTTCCACCTTCTCGTATCAAGTGCGCCCTCGAGTCGCCCAGGTCCTTGCATTCCCGCTCTGCGGGGAGCCACCGGCAAGAACCTGTCTCGCCTGCGCCCGAGGGGTAGCGCCTTTTTTCCGCCGCCCCCCCCCCCACGAGGTCCGTTTTTGACGGGCGGCGTCGTGCGCGCCGCATCCGCGGCCAGGGGGGGGCGCAGATCGGCGGGGCGCATATCGGCCGGGGCCTCGCGCCGTTCCTCCTCCTCCTCCTCCTCTTCTTCCTCCTCCTCCTCCTCCTCCTCCCCCTCCAAGTGCCCGAGGCACAGGGCGCCCTGCCCAACGCATCCATACATCCGATTATCGTAGCCTACCAGCGCCTCGGCACTGACAATTCCACTCAGCCTGGAATTGGATAGCAGGCTTGTTCTCTTTGTTTGCTGTCAAGTATCACAGCGGCTGTCGGCCAGACCTCGCCAGAGAGCATGGGCGGCCTATCTGTCCTTTAGCACAATCCTCTTTCAGCAACTTGTGCAGTACGGCTTCAGAAGATAGCGAGGAGGGCCGCCAACATGGATTGCATTTGCTTCAACGGCGCGGGCGAGCAGCAGTTCGACAGGGAGTCTGCAGCGCAGTGGAAGAGGATCGACGACAGATGGTGCATATTCGATGGATGGCGCCGTGGACCCCGCACCAACAAATCGGCAGGATGTGCGGCAATTCTTGGAAAGCGAATTGCCAAGCGAAGTAATACTAATATGTGGACTGCGCCGCCCGCAGGACGAGGACTAGCGATTCGAGCCAGAAGCAAACAGTATGATTTTGGAATATGCAGTGTTTATTTCCCACCTCCGCCGCACTGTGCCAATCAAGTTCGAGCCTATCACAAATCTTGTGGCATCTTGATACGATGGCTTAGAAATCTACCAATATGGGCTGCTCATCGCTGTTTGCCGATAGTTCGCTTGGACCTCAACTCAGGTTTTGGGCTTCAGCGAAGGGAAAGTTCGGAAACATGGGATCCATATCAATCCTCGAGTATTGGAGACCAAGCACAGCGCGCTCGACAACGATATGCAGCAGATGTACTTTTCAAATTTCTTGAAGATTTGGATTCGATTGCGTTGAATATTTTTGTTTTGCGGAGCTGGAGCTACTTGTTACAGCAATTCTGTCAACGGTTCTCAACTTGACTTTATCCTCGTACCCAAGTGTATGTTAACCTCCGCGACGTCAGTTTGACCCTTAAGGCGCATGGCGCGAGAACTACAACTAATCGGATCTAGAGTGCCACGTGACCACATACCAGTACACGCTCGACTGGAATACTCAATCGCGGCTGCCATTGGAGTATCGGGAATATCGAGCAAAGTCGACGAAATCCCACGTGCCGGATTTTACCCTCAACACATACAGTGGCGCCGCGAATCGTTAATGGACTCTCTTAGACGGGGCGCAAACAGAGCAGACTTTCTTCAAGCAGTTGAGCAGATAATGGAATCAGCAGAAGATGAATTCTCGAAATCACGTCGGGAGGAACAAACACCGAATGCCGAATGGGGTCTTTTCTTGAAGATAGTTGCCGAGGAGGGCAAGCTTTTTTTACAAGAGCTCCAGAACCACGACCTGGTTACCAACAGCGAGCACAGCAAGACCTACAGCTTATTCGAGAAAGACGCCAAGTGCGTCTGCAGTTTCTTGATGCAGATTATGAGTTGGAATCTTCTCTTGCACAAAGATCAAGGCAATGAGCAGTGACTTACGACGAATACGGCGACAACATATACGAGAGTGGAGGGCTGAACTCACGCAGGAGCTCCTCCAAGCTGGTAGATTCGGGCAGAAGTCCGAAGTTGCAAGGATATCTCGAGTGCTTTCCGCTCGGGGAACTGGACCTAGACGTCGCAATTACCGCCGAGCAGTCCAAGCACTTCCAACTGCTGAAGATATCAAACATCGTTTTCATTTTAATTCTGGAGAAGGCGGGATGGGCGCTGAAATAATTGACTGGTACCAGCATGCTGATCAATATTTGCATGGGGATGGAGGCGTCGAGTCTTGCGATACCACAGCACCTTTTACAGGAGAAGGATTGAACTGGTGAAAAGTCAAAGTTGCAGCTCATTGTCAAGAGTTTTCGCGCCGCGGCCAAACGCAGAGCATCACCTCCATGGCCATTGCCACTGGAATTGTTTTGGATGGTTTCCCACCCATGCCGCAGGACTTTTACATGTAACGGCGCGCCGGGTCCGGGGGCCCGGGGCCGGGGCCCCGACCGCAAATGTGGGCTCCGGGGGGCCCGGGGGCTCGTCGGGCCGCCGGGCGCCGTCCAAGATCGTTCGCACGCGGCTTCGAAACGCGCTCCGATGGCTCCAGATGCCTTCCAAGACGCCTGTCATGACACCAAGAAGGTCCCAGAAGCCTCCAAGACGCTCCGAGAGGCAGCCCAAGAGAGGCCCAAGAAGCAAACATCGTGCCATTCCCATGGGAAAACGTATATTTTTCGCATGTTCGCCTCTTGGGTTTTCACCGCGCCCAAGACGGCCCAAGAGGCGCCCAAGACGGTCTACGAGGCCTCCGGGAGCGCTCAAAGGCTGCGCACGAGTGTCCCAGGACGGCCCCAAGACGGCCGAAGAGAGCCCCAAGACGAGTTCGAGAGGGGTCCCAGACGGAGAAAGCCAACCTCGAATTCCGAGCTTCCGGCCCAAGAGGCTCCAGGAGGCGCCAAAATGCCGCCAAGAGGCGCCAAAAGGCTCCCAAAAGCACCCCAAGACGTTCCGAGAGGCACCCCAAGAGAGGTCCAAGAAACAAAGTTCGTGTCATTCCTATGGGAAAACGTATATTTTTCGCATGTTCGCATCTTGGGCTTTCACCGCGTCCAAGACGGCCCAGGAGGCCTCCAAGACGGCCTAGGAGGCCTCCGGGAGCGCTCCAAGGCTGCGCACGAGTGGCTCAGGACGGCCCCAAGACGGCCCAAGAGAACCCCAAGACGACTTCGAGAGGGGTCCCAGAAGGAGAAAGCCACTCTCGAATTCCGAGCTTCCGGCCCAACATATCCCAGGAGGCGCCAAAACGCCGCCCAGAGGCGCCAAAAGGCTTCCAAAATCAGCCCAAGACGTTCCGAGAGGCACCCCAAGAGAGGTCCAAGAAACAAAAATCGTGTCATTCCTATGGGAAAACGTATATTTTTCGCATGTTCGCATCTTGGGCTTTCACCGCGTCCAAGACGGCCCAAGAGGCCTCCAAGACCGCCCCAAGACGGCCCAAGAAGCTTCCAAGAGGGCCCCAGGACAGCCCAAGAGGGCCCCAAGACGGCCCAAGAGGCGCCCAAGATGGCCCAAGAGGGCCCCAAGACGGGCCCAAGAGGGGGCCCAGAGGGGGACCACGAACCGCAAGCTCGAGCCTTCCGCCCCAAGAGGCCGCCAGGAGGCCCCGAGGAGGCCCCTCAAGAGGCCCCAGGAGACCCCCAAGAGGCCCAAAGGAGGCCCCGAGAAGCCCCAAATCGGCCCCCAAAATGCTTCGAACCTGCTTCCAGGAGGCCCCCGACAGGTTCAGAGGCCCCCGAGAAGCTACGTCAAACTCCCAGCGAGCGGCCGGACGAGGCCCCCCACAAAATCACAAGATGGTTCCAGTAGTTGTATCCTTCAGCGCTCTCTGGCCTTCTTCCCCCTGCCCCCTTCCCTGCGATTTTTGTTGACTCAAGCTCGCCTCCGAGCTAGAACCTAAGCGCGCGCGTGGTTCTAGTCCAAGATATATAGAGGAGTTGGATGCGAGGCACCTCAGTTGAGCTCAAAAACACGCGCTTCATTCTTACGTGTACCACGCGCAAGATTTATCGAACCTCGGAGGTGCCATTGATTTGGAATTTGTCTCATGGTGCGGCCATCACATTCAAAAGAGTGATCCATGTACTATGCCCCTTCGGGAAAGCATTCGTCGCGTTTATCCCCCGGGCAACGCAATGTTGAGCCTCTGTTCCCACGCGGATGCGTGGCGCGAAGGGAGGGGGAGGGGGGGGGCATGATGGTGCAGCAGTCACTCGGACATCGCCTTCGCCGACTAGGAATTCATATTTTTTCGCGAACACACGGACGTGGCGAACGCATTCGGGAGCACATCGTTCTCGGCACTTTCTGAGGCCAATAAAACTAGCATGCGGGATTTAGAAGCCAGGTTCGGGGAACGGTGCTCTCGGCATGCAGCAGATTGTTCTAAAGGACCAGATGGAGTCAACTTCGCTCGTCCTAGGGCGGGGGCTTTGCAAGGAGTTCCATGGGCTGTGAAAGTGTTTATCAGAGACGCGGGCACCGTTTTTTCCGGGAGGTCCAGGAGCTGTTCGTTGAGCCTGGGGATCCGACTGCCAACTGGTGCATGATAGACATTCCCGACCCTACCCCCCCCCCCCCCATCGGGCTCGATCTCAGCCCATAGCTACGTCGGCGACGCGACGAAAGTATTCGTATCAGCGGGGGGGGGAGGGGGAGGACGCGGGCGCAGGGTTGAGCAGCAAATCGATGGCAAACGGGCACACGCCCAGCAAGCACGCGCAAGAGCATAACTACACAATCAACCCGACCAAAAACGAAACAGTGGTAGCAGTATTCGGTGCAGGCAGTAAATATGTACATCAACAGCTTAGGTCAGGTGCATTACCCACCGCGGACAAGGCCAACGATCCTGCTCCAATGTTTGGTGGGATTCTCCGAGCAGGTTCTTTTTTTCAGAGCGAATTGCCTTGCAGAGCTTCGGCGGTGGACTCAGGCTACGCTGCTATGGGCAGATACTGGTGCCAGCCGAGGATACCGCATACTGAAAAAACGAGCCGCCCTCCTCAGTCGTGCGCTCGGCCCAGCTCTGTCAGGCTTGGAGAGCTTCGCGCCGACATATGCACAGTTCGAGAAGCTTCAGACTCGTGTTTTGCTGTGCGCGCGCAGGGCTATGAGAGGAGCAGTTACGACCACAGGTGGTGAACATCCAGTCTCCGTCACAGACCAGGAGGCATTCCGATTCTGGCGCTTCGCGCCCTTGGAGGTGGAGGCAAGGTCTCGGCGCGCTAAGTGGTATCAGGCTGGGGCTTCTCCTCCAGAACTACATGTCTGTGACTGGGGGGGCTCTCTTTGGGAACATGCGCGTCGGGATCGAAAACCACTTGCGCATCGTACATGGCCAGGGGAAGCTCGCCAGCGCGGCCTGCCCGCGGGCCCAGAGGCTCGTCTCGTATATCATTTCGCTCGCTGAATTAGGAGACGAAGAACATGAAATAATCGCCGGGTTCGACAGCACTCCCCTCGACATATTTCAACCTGAGGTTTTGGTCGAATGGTTTACCCAATTCGATTCTAAGAAACTCAGGGTCCATTGGCTTAGTGTAAGTATGCCTCCTCCTGGTCATCGAGCTCCCCAGGCCAGCATAAGTACTCAGGAACAGGAACAACCATAGTGTGACTACAGGTGTAAGAGGGCGCACAGGCGCATTTCACACACGCAGGCAACTATTAGCACATCTTCATTCTCATCATGGGTTACGAGCAGTATTATCTCGGGCAGTGGTTACCAATCAGTGCTTCGTGTGTGGTTCGCTCTTTGAGAGCATCAACAGCACCTGCAAACACCTTTTGAGTTCATTCAGGACAGGAGTATGCACAGCATCCAGGAGCATAACACACCAGGTTCGTCAAAATGACCCCTTATGCTGTTGTCCGTTGTGTCAGGCTCAAGTATACTATACTTCTGAGTTGCAAGGTCATCTACGTTCACACTTCGAGTCTCTTCCCTTGGTGGGTGATGGAGGTCGAGAAAGCTCCGTCGTGGCTCAATCTCAGCAAGCGCAAGGCGCAGGACGTGGAGGGAACACACTCATCAGCAGGAAAGGACACCAAACCCGCGAAGCTCAAGGACAAGGTCGAGGCCGACGCAGCAGGGAGCAAAGTTGGCCCGCTAGCAGCACTCATCGCAATCTTGGCGAAGATGTGTCTCGTCGACAACCGCGAGCTGGCGGAGCTTACCGGCGCCAGCTATGCATGCTTCTTGCTCCCCGCGGTCGCGGAGATCGCGACGGTTCTGGAAGAAGCAGGAGTCAGCTATACCACGATGTGCAAGGACGAGGGCAGCGAGCACACCAACGGTCCACCATGGTCGCACGTGTGCATGGCACTATTTCACCACATTGTGACCAGCACGGACCTTACGATGCCCGAGATTCCCAAGCAGGTGTTGGCGAATTATTGGGATGTGGTGGTCACCAAACCCAAGGAGGAAGGGCTCTTGCTGCTACAGGCCCATATCAAATTCTTCAGGATCCGCCCCTGCCACCACGACAAGAAGAAACACGATGCCCCGCAGCAGTACAAGGTCCAGTTAATGGTGGCAGCTCAGCAGCACGTGGTATTGGTACGCGACGCCAAGGACCAGAGGGATCTGATGACGCTTCACGACTTGATCTGCCAAATCATATACCATTACAAAGGGACCTACAAGCCAGGCAGTGCCCCGAGGGGGGCGCTGGAACGCGACGCAGAGATTCTTCTCCTGCGAATCGGCGCCAGCAGCCAGAGCGCGCAGGATCAGATCAAGAGCAGCAAGAGCAAGGGCAAGGGCAAGGGCGACAAGGGGGAGAAGGCCGAAGACGATTCTTGAATGCCAGGCTTCACGATATAGCGGGCTCGGCGAGACTTCGTGAGATGCTTCTACGAGGTCAACTGAACGACCAGGTTCTAAATAATCTCCAGAGTAGGTCCGCCACCCCCATCCTGACGTATAAATCAGGTGACCTATTGGTTTGCATGTTTCATGATTCTGGAGAAGCGGCCGAAACCGATCTGGAGCTTGAAACCCTGCTTCGGAGGATCGCCAGAGTTCAAACCCTCTCTACCTACCTCCCCCTTTCTTCTGTTGAGTTCCCCTCGCCCTTCTCCCTCCTGGCCCCCTCTGCCCCTTCCAATCCTGAAACTCAGGAATAGCAGGAACACCTGTGGGATGGCGACCTTCAAGACTCGCCCCTACTTGACTAGCTTGGGGACTTTGCTTCTGGAGAGCGGCCTAGAGGTTTCCCCCAATGGCCGTCCCTCTTTAAGCCAGTGGTGCCCCCCAGCGAAGCCGCTGGTAGGCGTACATACACGCATCACATAGCCACTAAAAACATAGAAACGATCGCTCAAGGCGGTCCTTTTTCCCCCAGGGTTCCCCGGACACGAAACTATGGCTCGCAAGGGGTTGTTTGTCTGTCTGTCCTCCTCCTCCTCCTCCTCCTCCCTCTCCTCCTCCTCCTCCTCCTCCTCCTCCTCCTCCTCCTCCTCCTCCTCCTCCTCCTCCTCCTCCTCCTCCTCCTCCTTCCTCCCCCCCCTCCTCCTCCTCCACCTCCTCCCTCCTCTCCTCCTCCTCCTCCTCCTCCTCCTCCTCCTCCTCCTCCTCCTCCTCTCCTCCTCCTCCTCCTCCTCCTCCTCCTCCTCCTCCTCCTCCTCCTCCTCCTCCTCCTCCCCCCCCCTCTCTTCCTACTCCTTCTCGAGGGTTGTCTCGCCCCGCGACAGTGGGCGACGCCTCGCTGCGCGACGGGGCAGCTGCGCGCGGGCGGGCGCCTCGCGCCCGGGGGGGGGGGGCGCAGCTGTGTCGCATCCGCGGGGGGGTCCCCTTCCGCGACTGGTTGGTGGCCCTCTCACCATAAGTCGGGCCTTTCTCTCTCTCTCTCTCTCTCTCTCCTTCTATGCAGGAGGAAGATTCAAGAACAGGCAAACATAGTAGGGGGACGATGTTCCTATTCTTTTCGCTTAATTCTGATTGTTTGGGAGTGGCCCACAATGTTTCGCCCAAAATCCGCCCGCAGGGAGACACGCTCGACTCTTATCTTACCACCCACCAAGCCACCCAAACCCAACCCGAAGGCTCCAGCTCACCATCCGTCCTGAGGGGGTGGACGTCGGGGAGCATTGACAAACACCACGCGCGGAACCCTTCGTATACCTTCCACCCACAGACCGAGACGGGTCTCCGGGTGTAGGCTGAGGTGGTCTGGTAGGTACTCACAGAGCTGTACCTGGACGCTGTTTTGCTGGACTTCGGCTGTGGTTTGGTCTCCGCCCTGGGAGGGGTGCGCAGGAAAACGGGCAGAGCAACACGAAACATAAGACGAGCACGGACAGAAAAACAGCGTGCAGGTCCAGCCCCGGGTGGTCAGTCTCGGGTCCGCGCCGGGGTTGGCGCGTCGCTTCCGCGGGGGTCTCGCACCGCGAGGGGTAGCGCCTCGGGACGCGGGGGGGGGGGGGGGGGGCGGAGCCCGCCGCGCCACGCGAGCGAGGAGCTCCTGCAGGCTATCGCCTGGCCTCCCTCGCGGCTCCCTCCCCCTCCCCCCCCCCCTCCCCTTCCCCTCCGTCCATCGCGGCTCCCCCCCCTGCTCTCCCCCCCCCCTCCCCCCTCCACCCTCGACTGATGGTCCAAGGGGCGGCTCGGTACGATCCCGTCGGGATTCCTCGGGGCCCGGGGAAGGTCTTTCGAAGTAGTGGGTGCATTCTTCGGTTGCTTGGAGAAACCTTGAGGGCTCCTGCGGGAATCGCGCGTCTCCAGACGAACTTCTCTACCCATGGCATATGAGACCATCGTGATTTCTTTAAAGGAAAACTTTGTGATACTGAGGGGATCCCGACAAGTCCTCCAGAACGTCTTCAGAGTATCAATGGTCTTCTGACTGCTCGCGGGGTGCAAGTCCAGAGCGCCCATTTGGTTTTTGCTCATTTGCCCTGCTCATCTGCCGTGCCGTTCTGCCTTCTAGGAGGCCTTTCGGGAGCCGTTGGGAAGCCACTTCGGGCCTCTTTGAGGGGACCTCTTGGGGCCTCTTGGAGGTGTCTCGGGGGCCTCTTGGGGCGATCTTGGGGGAGTTCCCAAGGCTAGCTGTGTGGGGGGCCTGCGGATGATTTTGAAGAGGCTACGAGTGCCGAACAGGAGGTATTCTTAATTCTGCGCTGTACATGAGAGGCAAGAGGCGAAGCCCGTCGTCTCTCACTGCGTCGCTTGGAGGCGGGCGAGCTTAAGCACGCCTGCCCTGTCGGTTGTCTGGCGATTTGTTGAAGTCCCCAGCCAACGGTCGCTCGCGCCTTGCGTTCGTCGGATGAGGTGCTCGCTCATGGGATGAGTAAGCAGAGGCGTGATAGAGAATTAAGTTCAGGATGGAGGAGGAAGAAACGGCAAGCCACCGCCGCCACCGACGCCTACGTGCCCATGGTTGGGTCAAAGCATGGCCAATATCTTGGACCAGGGCTGGACCTAAACGTTGTGTTGCTGGACTTCGGCTGTGTTCTGTTTTTTCGTTTTGGGAGGGAGGTGCAGGAAAACAGGTACGTAGAGCAACATGAAAAACAGCACGAAAACAAAACGAACAACAACGCTTGGGTCCAGCCCTGTATTGGACAGTAGTGTGTACCCCCAGCCGCTGTTCACATATCGTGGGAGGATCAGGGAGAAGTGCAGAAGTTGCTGGAGGATGACGAGAACGAGGATGACTTGTCTTGGCTGCCTCGTGGGGCCATCTTGGACCGTCTTGGCGCTCCCGGGCCTCAGGGAATGTCACGCGATAGTCCCCAGAGGGCACGCGAGCAGCCCCAGGACATCGGGTACTTGGACTCTGGGCCCGCAACAGAGCACATACAGCCTTCGGTATTGAGGATTGAGCGATCAGGACCTGAAGAAACTCCTCTTCGTACCACGAGGCTCAGTGACGGATGCGGGTGTTATGTTATCGGATGATGTGGATATCCGTTCGAGAGACATTGTGGGGTCCACCTAACGGACCTGCTCGACTCTAGCTCGCGACTAGATCGGTTCAAGTCCGACATCATTTCGGCTCAACGCGACGGATGTTCCGCGCAGCATCGACGCAGGAGTGGAGCGGATGTCTCCAAAAAGGTCCCCAGAACGAGCATCTAAGACAAGTAGAGGCGAACACTGTTTTTGTATCGGGAATTGTAGTTCATTTTAGGTTCTTGGGCGGTCTCTGCCTGGGTTGCCATGGGTTTCGAGGAGGACCACGTGGACCAGTAATTGGAGGCGAAAGAGGCCAAGACGGAGGGGCAGTGGAATTGTGTCCTCGAAGGCAGCGGATAAGGAGGAGAAGGAGGGCAGGGGTAACGTCGGGGGGGGGTGCCTCAGCGGAGGATGCATCGACACCCAGCCGAACAGTGATCGCCGATAGGGGACACGGTAGCGCACCCCGCCCTGGTGCGAACGGATTCGCTGCCGGGCGTCTATCGCCGATCTTTCGGCGATGCATCGCCTAGTCCAGGTCGACGATTCCCCCCTGAGCTGTTCCTCCCCTATCGTTGCCCCTCGGAGGAGGAGGGGCGGAGGGGGGAGGTGAAGTGGGCGACCCTGAACTCCGACAGCGTGCTTTTTCAGACCCTTTTCCCGAGACCATATTTCGAAGTGCCAAGGGATGCCCGCCGCGATTTTTCCACATCGAGCGCGAAGGAGGAGGATTAATGGATCATTTCACCAAGCAGGAGGCTAGGGCAAGAGGGAGGCGGGAACCCGTAGGCGAGCCAGTTCGGACGCAGATGACCAACCGACCCGCAAGGGCAGAGGCCATCCGCACCGCCAGGCAGGCAAATACCGATAACTCCTAACCAGCCGTCAACGCCTGGTACGTTCTCTCAAGAACTCGACAAGCGGCTCCAGCCGTCAGTGGGCACCAGGCCACGTCTAGAGGAGGAGAAGGAGGAGGAGGAGGAAGAGAAGGAAGAAGATCAGCCGGTTGAAGCAGGAACGAGGAAGATGAGGCAGAAGTGGAGGTTGCGGCGGCGGAAGCGGCAGAAGGAGCATAAGGCAGCGAGGGAGGGTTCCTCGGCGTACACCTAGGGCTTGTCCGCTGGCCGGGAGAATGTTGGACTGGCAATCATCACATATAGCGCAGGGAAAGGACGAGCACAAGACGAGGAGCGAGGAGGAGGAAGGGGAAGGTGGAGGGAGGGAGGGAGGAGGTAGGACGAAGGAGCGAGGAGGACAGGGAGGACGAGGGGCAGGGTGGAGGAGGAGTAGGAGGATGGAGGAGGGTGGAGCGCGCGGGAGGGGGCAGCGCCCACTTGCCGCGCGGCGCTCGGGCCCGCGCCGGGCGAGAACAGAGGACGCGCCGCCGCAAAGGGTTGTGGGGTGGTTTCACGCTGGGGTGGCGGCGGGCCTGTGTGCAGAGGAGGAAAGACGATAGTGGCGATGCTGAAGAGAATCATGATGATGATCATGGTGGCGATGGTAATAAAGATGATGGTGCTGATGTGGATGGTAATGCTGGTGATGGAGGTGGTGTTGATGGTGACAACGATGATGACCGCGATGCCGATGTTGGTAATACTGATGATAATGATGATGATGCTAATGATGATGGTGATGGTGATGGTGATGTTGATGATGCTGATACTGTTGCTGATTATGATGATGATGATGGGGATGATGATGATGATGATGATGATGATGATGATGATGATGATGATGATGATGATGATGATGACGATGACGATGATGATGATGATGATGATGATGATGATGATGATGATGATGATGATGATGATGATGATGATGATGGTCATGATGGTGACGATGGTGCCTCGCAAGTGGGCGTCCGAGCAGATGGGGTCGGAGGA